AAGCGAGCCAAATGTAGCTGCTTGTAAAATGCCTGCATGTAAAATGCCTGCACACAAACGTCCAAGCTTGCTTATAACAAGCCTCAGACAGCTGTTTCAATTCTTTCCCAAACATCACCTGCCCCCTGGTGGCCAGCTAGCATGAGTGCAAAAAGGTGTGGGCGTTATTTTATCGTTTTAAAGGGTCAGCATGGAAAGTCAGGAAAGATGACAGCGAACAAGTGAAGCCAAGTTTGGTACTTAAGATGGACCAATTTGTAAGGATTAAACTTTGGCTTTCATTGGTGGTGATGGGGTTTGGAGTTTCTTGCTTTTTTTTGGGGGGGGGGTTGTTTTTTGAATAGTAAATCTCTTCACTGCTGAGCTATCTCCCTAGACTCCATTTCCTCCCTATTTTAAAGAATTCTGAAAAGCAATGAACAAGACAATCTCATCTTAGGCTCATTCTGGTCATATATGCCCTAAGGCTGTGCTCTGTGCAATGGCTCCTAAAGTTACACTCTTGTGCAGTGTGTAAATTCCTGTTCTTTGAGATCCACTATTTTACTTGCATAAAAAAAAAATAAAAAAATAAAAGGCCAAATGGGGAGCGCACAGTTCTAAGCCAGTTAACTTTTCGTGTTTGCTAGCCCTACATTTTTTCCTGTCTGTTATTTGTGTTCATCTTCTACTGTAGCACGGACAAAGTCTAAGCATATGCTCCTGCTAACTATGCCATTACTACATGTGTTGTAACAGTGTTGTAACAATGTCTTAAGCTTTCACAACTGAATCTAACAGCAACTTCCCATGTCTCGGCCAGCATCTGCCAATGCCCAGAAGCCACGACACCTTCTCCAGCTACGATCCTGACTACTTTAGATACTGAATGTAAGCCAAGTCAGCAAGATTCCTCATTTCCTCTGTCCATTGCATGCCTGTGCGTTGGTGCCTGTGAATGATGCACATGCCCCAGTGTGCACGGAGAGAGCAGAGGACAACCTTCGGGTGCTGCTCTTTGACATTCACTATTTAGGTTTTCTTTTCCTTCCGTTGTGTATGCCAGGCTACCTGGGCCACGAGTTTGCAGAGATTCTTCTGTCTCTAGTTCACTTCTTGTCTCCCCATAAGAGTGCTCAGATTACAGATGCTCACACTAATATCTAGGTTTTCACAGCAAGTGCTTTTACCCTCTGAGCTGCCTCCTCAACACCACCATTTCCTTTGTATAGTACTGTGAATAGTACTCCACTGTACGGACATACCATGTCTTTATCTACACAGACATTTAAGCTATTCTTCCATCCTGTTAGTTATTGGAGATTATAGCTAGAAATCCATGGAGTCTGTATAACAGGCGAAGGAATTTAGTAGAAGATAAAACTCAATACAGCCTGAAACACAGAGCTGTGGTCAATGCTGATCTTCTGCCTGGTCCATTTTAGCATCCAAACAAGGAGGGAGCAAAGAGAGCCACATACGTGTATCCCGGATCTTAAGGGTCCTAAGAGGCCGCACCCCGGGAGCATGTACTTCAAGATCATAGGCAGATGTAGCAGTTACCTGCTGCCTTCTAGGGGCAGTGCTCCAAGGTCATCATCAAAACAGCTACCCACTACAGGGGATAAGGCTGCAGAGAACATGGGAGATCAAATCTCTCTTCCATATCCTGATGTCGCTTTGGGAGATCAGCCCTTACTGGGTATCCGGCTTGCAGGCAGTTTTTTCCTTCCATGCTCCTGACTGTCTCCCTTGTGCTGCAGAAGTCTGAGCTCAGTATAGTCTCACTTGTCCAGTTTTTCTTGTCTCATGCTTCTGGTGTCAAACCAAGAAATCACAACCAACAACAAAGCCATGAAAATCTTACCCTTTCATTTCCTTCTAAGAGTTTTTTGGTTTCAGGTCTTGAATTAAAATGTAAGATTTGGGGTTCTTTTCTGGGTATGAGGTGAGATGAAGGTTCACTTTCACTTTGCCCACAGACATCCAGTTCTCCTCACACTGTATAGTTCTCCTACTGGGCATTTTCAGCAGTTTTGTCAAAACTCAGTGGACTGTATGTCCACGGGATTATTTCTGGGCTCTTCCATTGTAGTGGTCTCTATTACAACATTTGATTTACAAACTAATAGACTTGAAAGCAAGATGTATGATGTTTCCAGCTTCGTCTCCCCCCCCCACACACACACACAAGATCCACTATTTACTTGCATTAAAAAAAATTGCTTTGGGGCTACTTTGGGGTCTTATTTGGTTCCCCATGAATTTTGCATACTGACTTTTCTTTTTCAGTCAAAAAATGCAATTAGGATTTTGAGAGATGTCTTAGACAATAATAGGCATGGTGATGTCTATTTTAACAAAACAAAGCTCCGTTCATGTGCTGTCATAATTATTAATCTCTACTATTACACCTGTGTTCCAGGAAGGGCCTTCTCTATTCAGGTCTGTATTTATGATGCTTTTATTCATTTCTACATGTAAAACTCTTCTGTCTAGATTACATTCTTGTGCACTGTGTGAAGAGATCTATCTCCAGGACAAAAAACGTAACACTGTCACATTCACTAAATGATCCATTCTTCCTAACAAGAAGCACCAAATTTTTCATGTATGGAAACGGCATCTGCCCTTTCAGCATGAGGGCAAAGTTGAGATCATCAACATGCAGTAAGGAAAGACAGACAGCAGGCGCACAGTGTGGTAGCATTGCATCACCTCCCCAGAGCAGGTCTGCAGCCCTAAACCATCTCCTAACACTGGAGAGACAGGAGATGCAGAAAACCACAGGCTCTATTTATAAAAGGGCACAGAAGAAGCAGACATGTCCACTTCCAGGGCAGACATCACGGCACTTGACAGGGATGATATATAAAACAGTCAGAAGTGGAGAAACCCAACTTGGATGCCTACGGTATCCCAAACAGCTCCCATGAGTGTTGGAAACATGGTAATAATAGCATGCTGTGGTGTGCACAGCATCTTCCTCATAAATAGCAAGCACGTTTTATTTAGAGCCAATGTTACCTAGAATCTCGCAGCATCACCACCTTTAAATAAATCACAACAGCTAGACCCCAGGATGGCGGTTCAGAGCTTTCAGTGGATTTGCCCACTTGCTTTGGGGATTTCACAGAACTTCACACCACTTCACACCATGGAGTAGTAGGGGGCTCACTTCTAAACTAAAGCCATTAAAAGTGTAACGACAACAAAGACTGTCAACCTCGTCGGCCTTAGCGGCACAATTAGCTACCATTTGAGAGCCTGGGATGAAAATATTGTACGCACTCAAAATGATGCCTGCGTTGGGAGCATTCCCATGCTGCCAAACGAGAAAGTAGAGCTGTGGAGAGACTTGGCAAGTAGCCAAAGTCGGGCCACAAATAGGAAGTGGAGAACCAAGATCTTCACCAATGCCCAAGCCTCACAAGGTCATTATCCTGTCCTTGTCTTCTGAGGTAGTGGAATTTCTTTAACTATTAAACTGTTAAATAATGATAGGACATTTCAAATACTATTTCACCCAGCCCCCCAAAATTAACAGAGGCTGGAGAGATGGCTCAGAGGTTTAGGGCATCCCTACTCTTGCAAAGGGCCTTGGCTCAGCTCCCAGCACCTATGTGGAGGCTCACAACTGTTTGTCACTCCAGTCCAGAGGATCTGATACCTTCCTTCTGGCCTCCCAGGGCACAGCCTGCATGTGATATACTGACACACAGCCAGGCAGAGCACACATGAAGAGAAATCTTTATAAAATTAAATAAAAGAAACATATAAAATTGAAAAATATGAAAAGTAAATTAAATCAATAAGAAATTAAGCAAAATGTGAGGTATGGGCAGCAGTTTTATGTCATGACTCATACTAGAAACTAGTGTGGAACTTTTTGAAAATAATACGGTTATCCAAGTGACTATAAAATGCATGTGCTTTTGTTTATTAAATATATAATATGCATGTGCTTTTGTTTATTAATACCATTTGAAATAACCTGTCACAAGAAACTCACTGAGACGATTATAAACAATCCATAAGGGAATCATTGTGAACGTGATATATAGAACCAACTCAAACATCCAGGTGATGAATTGTTAATGCACTTATTAACACCAAGTGACTCATTGAAACTGATCTCTACGTGGTACATAACAAAATGGGATTTCAATGTTTACAAGCAGTTTTACTTCAAAAGCCACACACAGCAATGTTTCCTCATTAGGATCAAGCTAGTTTTCAGGTCAGCCTCGAGTTGTGAAAATAACTAACCGTCATGTTTACAAACGGGAAAACACGTGGCTCACAGTTGCATCCTGCACTGACACAATGAAAGCCTGGATAACAGCGAGTTTACGGGCTGCCACATGGCCCTTTTCTGGCTCTCTGTTCTGCTGTGCAGTGGGCTTAGAAGTCACATGACTGTCCTATCGATGTAATATAAAATAAGAGCATGTCGGTAGTGCATGGCGGACTGCACAGTCTTGCATGTTATGTGCAGGAATTTCAATGAATACATTTTATAAATGGCTCCTCAAGAGGAAATGTGAGACTCTCAATGTAGTTAAATGTGTTTAAGTGATAGGCTGCCTTAGACCTGTCCCTCCAACCAAGGGGGGTGGGGTGGGGAGAGCTAGGAAAATAGAAAGCTACCAAGCTAATACAAGGGGTGAAAAACTACATCTTAAGATAATTTTACAATCAAAGATGATCCAATTTAAAGTAACATGTATATTTGGAGAAGTGTCGTTTTTGTTTTTTTTTTTAATTTCACATGAGCCATATTAAGAAAATCATTTTAAGCTAAATTTATCTATATAATCAAATGTCCTCTTCTTGTGTTAGAAGGCTCAATCATACTTCCCAAATGCCCATTTCATATGCAGTTATTTATACCTTAAAGCCTGAATTTTTGACTCAAAAGCATAGCAGTACAGGTCATTATAAATAAATTCTAGTGTGTTTAATCATTACTTTTCAAATGGAAAGATTTTTATCTATTCATGCTTAGAGTGGGCACTTGCCTGAATTAAAAGCTGTGAATAGACTCTTTCTTGAAGGACCTAGAATGTGAAAGAAACATAAAAACACATTTTATTGAAAATACTACGCATGACTCAAGCCATTTTGTAAATAAGAGTGGTTTCGTTTCTTTCAAAAGCTTTCCATTAACCTCTGAATTGTAGGTTCCAGCTAATCACTGAGAAAAATCCCAAGAGATGCCAACAACTTTATCAAGTATATTGCTTTAGGAGTTGGGGATTTAGCTCAGTGGTAGAGCACTTGCCTAGCAAGCGCGAGGCCCTGGGTTCGGTCCTCAGCTCTGTTAAAAAAAAAAAAAGTATATTGCTTTAAATATAGATAATATTGTAGACATCTAATTTGTTAATAATAGGAGTGACAGGCATTATTCATCAAAATCAAACTATCAATTTTCAAAAGGACAGGGCATGGTGCATTTAGCAAGTCAATGACAAAGTTCATTTTAATTTTAGTTTATTTATTTATTATTTATTCTCGTATCTGAATCCTGAGCCCCACAGATTAGAACAACACTCCACCACTGAGCTACTTGCGGGCCAGGAGACCCATCGTTTAGCAATGCTAAACTCATACTTTTATATTCCTATTTATTATTATACTGCACATAGGAAAGAGGCTGCACTTTGGCAGAGAGGGCTGCTGGTGTGTGCCTTCCCCAGGGGCTGACTTCTATTCGGCCATGAAGAAGAAATACACCGGAGCTTTTGCTCCAGGCTGATGCAATATAAGATGTGGCCAGGAACCAAACGGATAGATGCTTGCCGGGCTATAAGCGCCTGTATTTGACATCACCAAACAGTCAAGTGAGAAACCATCTGCAGACGACTGGCTAGAACTACCATAGTCCATCTGTGGAATTTTAAAGAGAAGACCATCTCTTAAAAGCATGTGGCCATCATAAATGGGAAGCATTCACTCCCTCTCAGAGACACCTGCAGACTCAACGGCAGGCCTTTTAAAACACTGGCTTTGCCCCGTTTTGCAGTTCATCAGTGGGGTCTCTAGTTGTCCCCTGAAAGTCGCCTCAGGGATTAAACCTCCATCACGGGGTTTACTTTTGGCTATTGATAGAGGTAGTGTGGGGCTTAAAAATCATGATAAAAACCAGTTTCTGATATTAATGCCACCCTAGCAGGGGGCATCTGATGCCTCAGAGCTGTATATAAGACAAAGAAGCCCCTGGTGGCACAGTGAATGACCTGCCCCTAACCAGGAGAGAGAGAAAAGCATTGCTAAATGTAGGCTAGGTCAGTAACCTCAAGCTATTGTATGATCTTTTACATACATGCCAGCATACATACATACAAAGTTGAGACCACTGTGCTCACTTTCCTTGACACAAAAACAAAACCACATCTATATGCAGAGAGAAAACTGAGAGGGGGTGCCGTGGTGGATGCTGGTTGCTTTTCCAATTCTCTGATATAAATAAGGGTCTCACTTATTCTTCCAGATGAGCAAGCTTTCAAGGACCTAGGAGCAGAGCTTTGCCTCTCTCTCTCTCTCTCTCTCTCTCTCTCTCTCTCTCTCTCTCTCTCTCTCTCTCTCTCTCGGCTGTGACAAGGCTGCACGGAAACATTGCAGGTTAAGTCCACACTACACACTAAATGCTATCTCCGTAGCCACAGCAATTGCAAAGCAAACAAAACAGAAGGATCAGACACAAAGAACCGAGAGAAGAGAGGAACAGTCTTGACAAGGAAAGCAGGCAACAGACATGAAATAGGCCATGCTCCTCATTCCTAGCTCTCATCGAGGGGCTCGCACTAGCATAACCGAATGTTAGTTTTATTTGTTTTATCTCTGTTCTATCTGCTGATTTCTGGGATTTGCTTTATTTCTTAGTTTAGGGCGGTGGGTGTTTTGCTGGAATGCGTGTCTGTGTGCATGCATGTGCAGAACCCGTGCAGACTGGCAGATGGAGCGAGCACAGCATCGGATCCCCTTGAACTGGAGATACAGGTGGCTGTCAGCCACTATACAGGTGCTGGGAATTGAACCTGAGTCCTCTGCAAGACCAGTCAGAGCTTTTAAACACCGAGCCCTCTCTCTCTAGCCCCTACCTGCTGATTTTTATTACTGGATTTTACCTATAGAATTTGCAGACCCTTGGAACAAGAGTATCTCATTGGTAAAATTTTCTAATTCCATGGGCGTTTAAACATATAAACAATTGTTACATGTACCATAAACCTACTTGTCAAAATTTAACTTCCTAAAAGCCATGGAATTTAAAATTCCTTAATTTTCTCTTCATCACAAAGAAGACAATACCTTTTGGAGGAGTTTTGAGCAAGTGTGCATGAGCTCTGGGTACCAAAGGCTTCAGATATAAGGATCCTGATCCATTCTGAAATACTTGTTTGGGAGGTTTCTCTTCATACTTGATGACAGCAGCATTACCAGCTATAACAAAACAGAACAGTAGATCTTATTTAATACGTAACCACAAGTCCCCCGTATTTATTCCAAAGAGACTACCATATGACAATAATTACTGAATGTCAAGAAAGAGATAATGCCTGGCCAAAAGTATGCAAAATAAACGCTGTCCTCAAAAACCTACATTTTGTTTCCTCCAACAGTGCAAGTTTGTGCACACTTCCAGCTTGGCTTTTATCTCAGAAGGTGGAAGATGAATGGTCATCTATGCAGTGTAACAAACAAACCCAATGCATGGATAGGAAAGCATCCCTCTCCATGAAGACAATACAGACTGTAAGTGGCTGATGTTAATTAAGTAAAAGTAAAAAATCGATAGCAGACAAAATCCTCAATGGCTTCAAGGATAAGATCTGGTCTCCACAGAAGCTGCATTGAGAAGTCAGACTGCCAGCATCCACCCTGTTACAAAGGTCCAGCCTTAAAGTGGAAAAAAAAATATAAAGAGACTCTCACCTACATAGAGAAAAACAACTGTATGAAAACACAAAATCTCTCCTCCACTTACTGTCTTGATCCTATTTTCTCTGAGAAATTGTCAACTCGTAATTCTAGGCATCCAGTTTTGTTCTACCATTCAATACATCAGTCATAATTTTTTTTCCTAGTATAGAATGTGCTACATGAATGTGTGTCACCCTGGTGCGACAGCAGTGTTCGCATCTCTGTGTCATTTCAATTTTAGCATATGCACTGTGAAGCAGGATTGTAAATGGTCTTACTACTGACTTGGACCCCTTTCTTCATCCTCTAGCAAAGGGCGAAGAGACATCTCTTGCTCGCAAACAATATGAAGACAAGTTTTTTCACTAGGCTGCACGACCTCAACCCCCACCAACAATGCTCACACAGTATCCGTACATGGAGTCATCTGTTACCTCGCCATATGCCCAGATAACATTCCTAATATTAGATCAGCACAAACCCACCCTCCTGCTGGCAAGCTTCTGCCTAGCTTCTGTCCTGCTTTCCAATTCTCACCTTGCCCAGAGAACCTATGGAGTGGGGCTTTCCAAACTTGACAGGATGCTAATGGACAAGGCGGTCTACCTCTCGACAGAACACTCTAAAGGACACACAGTGGGGCGACAGTACCAGCATTTCATGAGAAGTGGGCATTAGGTTTCAGTAGGTTCGTAAATGACTTGAAGTCAATCAAAGAAGTCTCTTTTGTTGTAACACTGGATTTCAGACTTGCTTATCTTGGAGCAACTTTTGTTCTATTCAGCAGCAAGTAAGTCACTTGTTCCAACTTCGAAAAACAAAGTTCAGTTCAATTTATGAACAGGATATAAGATTTTCCACAGCTCTGGATGCATGCTTCACTTTTCTGAGCTTTAGACGCAAAGATCTGCTGCTTACAAAGAATATCTCACAGAAGTGAAGGACATGTTTCTTACGAGGTCCAAGACCCCTGGCTATTGGTCTCACAGAAGAGTAGACACTGTTCTGGAAATAAAACTACCTTGGTGCTACTCTTGAAGGCTCACCAAGACCACAGATCTAGCACCAGATTCAGTCAGCTTTGGAACACAACAGAGTCAAAATCCACGTCTCAAGGATAAAATATACTGATAGCAACATTCTTATACATACTTGCATATTTATATGAAATATATGTGTGTGGCAAATATTCACACTCAATGATTATCCATTGTATGAGTACTGACTTTACCAGATGGAATAAACTAAACATATTTGTTTTTTTGTTTTTTTTTTTTTTTTTTGGTTTTTCGAGACAGGGTTTCTCTGTGTAGCTTTGCGCCTTTCCTGGAACTCACTTGGTAGCCCAGGCTGGCCTCGAACTCACGGAGATTCGCCTGCCTCTGCCTCCCGAGTGCTGGGATTAAAGGCGTGCGCCACCACCGCCCGGCTTACTAAACATATTTGTATGGCCTAACACTTCGGTATTCTCTCCATTTTACTGTTGGCTGGCACATTGCTTTTCAGTAAATTCCCACTTGGAAAGCTGATTGCTACTCTGAGGCAGGAGGTTCTTGAAGCATTCCTCCCACCTTCTACTCAGTTCCTCACATGGTGACTGGCACAGCATCCTTCCCATTTCTAATTGTTTCCTTATTCAGAGATGTCCTATTTTAATGTCCTTTGTAGCTGTAACTGTCCGGTTACGCTACAACAACACATTTTTCTAGAATCCTAGTTTCATTTCCCCAGCCCAGGCTGTGTTGCCAGTGGACGAAGAAGTGGGTGTAGACAGCAGAGCAGGGATTGTTTTCAGAAGAATCTCAGCAGAAGCATCAGCTTTCCTGCTAGCAAAGAGCTTCTCATTGGTCCCAGTGTTGACTTGCAAACGAGTGTTTCTTACTGCATTCTGGCAGCTAAGCTGAAATGAGTTTTTGTTTGATGGAATGACATGGATCTGCAGAGAGACAACACTCTGCTCATTTCTGGAATTCTTTGTGAATCAGCTTAACGCTCGCCACTGTGCCAGATTGTCTGCCTACCTCGCTTAAAACCAAATAACTCAAGTCTAAGCTTCTAAAGCTCAAAAATCAGAAATCACTCAACTTTGTAATTTACAAGAGTGGCTTCCTACACACCATAGAAAGATACTAAAATAGAACAAAGATTAGTCATCTGCACATTTCCTCATGAAGCAGCCCATTCAGAAGGGCATGCAGACTAACATGTCTTGTGACATGGAGTCAGCACTACACGCTGCCCACCTCTCTACTCTTCGCCTGTGTCAGACATCACTAGTCAAACACAAACCTTTTCCTCTGAACCTGGAGGAAGCCTGAGAAAGGACCAACACTGTAGGTTCTTATCAACTTCCTAGTGTTGACAAATATGACCACTCACTAACCATTCTTGCCACAATAAAAACAAAACTGGGGATCAGGAAGATTCATCCTTCTGCCTGCTTAGTCAGTTGGGCAAATCAAAACGCATTCCTTCCAAACAGATGAGGCATCCTCGTACGAGTCGAAGGCACGCTGCTGGAAGGAAGCCGAGGACGGTCCGGTTCCTTCCTTCCCATTCATCAGATTCAAAAACTGATGCTAAAAGATACTAAAACTATGCAACTCACCGTGAGTTCAGAGAAACTAGAACAAGTCCCAGGTGAGTACCTTTTCCTATAGATCACTTCCTGTCTGCGAGGCTGCCACCAAAGGAGAAAAGAGGCTGGCCCACTTATTTATTTATTCCTTCTGATCTATTGCTGAGAGAGCACACATAGCTTTAGTTTGCATCTCTGTCACTGTCCCACATCATCTGTCACTCAAATATAAACATGCACTTGTGGCCAAGGGAAAAGAGGAAGGAAATCTCTGGTCTTCACAAGCCTGCTAAGGTGGCGAAACTGCTTACCCAAGACCCACTTCCAAATTGCACAATGAGCTGTCTCATTTGGTATAGAGAACTACCATGCAATCTTTACACTCATATCAGAAGGCAGTTACTATTTTTTACTTTTTTTCTATACACTCATTAAAAAAAAAAAAACCTGAACTCCCAGATACAAAAAAATTGCCTTATACATCTTCGCTCATACCGATGACCAGATGCCAATTTCCCAACATCACTATGCTTGTCTGTGAAGTTCTTAACTGATGCCACTAACAACGCAACACCACAAAGAAAGAAAAAGCAGGCAAAGGAAGCGAGCACCACCCTTCAAAAGGCTCACTGTGGAAGCTGGCCAGAGTCATGATCTCCAGCAAAAGATTTATTTCCTAATGTGAGCCCCAACACCAGCAGCAAGACAATTTTGGCTCAAAATGTTTTTTTTTTCATATTTTAAGGTAGTTTTTTTTTAAAGCACACACACATTTAATACTTTTATGTGAATCATATATTAATTGTAACTGAAGACAACCAATAATCTAGCGCTTCCATTTAAATTCTAAGGAAGTATTTTTCTACATTTGCACAACTGCCAGTCACATACATAAAACATACAGATTAAATCAGATAGTCTTTGTTAATAGGATAAAAATCATAAAGGACATTTGTAACCTGGAATTATAATTTAAGTCCCCAAACACAGAAAACACACAATCAAATTAGTTCCCCACAGATCTTTTCCCCATCTTAAATATCCATAAATACAACCAAGAAAGACTACAGTCAACATAAATTACAAGAAACAAAGCTAACACCCCAGAGGTCCTACAATCAATTTATTTAATAAAAATTTAAGCATGCTTACAAAGCAAAGAATCAAACGAGAAACTGCCGACCTACTTCTTTTCCTAGTAAGCGTGGTTAACAAAGGAATTATACAAAGGCTGTAGGATCCCACGACCAGCAGTGCCAATAAGGTAGCATCATAGTGCCTTTCTGAGCCAGCCGGGGGTGTGAGTGTAGAATTAATAAAGATCTTTGAAGAAATATCAGTTTCTGTACAACTGCGGAATCCTCCTGGTATAGTCATTTAAAAGGATCGAAGCCAGCTCAGGCAGGGGAAACCGCAGCCATGTTCACGCTCACATCCCTCATATGCTTGCTCTCGCTGAATTGGGATGGGGAGGGGGAGAGCCGTAAGCTGCCAGGCAGACAAGAACAGATAAAACCGGCTCGCAAATCAGACCAAGAAAGAGACTCACGGATATGAATGCTTCATCTGTGAGAGGGGACACAGGGCCACTGGACGGGCTCTGTGGGTGCACGGTAAACCCTTTTGTTAAGGGACAAAAAGGAAGGACAAAAGCATTTCACAGCCTCTTTGGGAGGGTCAGACATGCTACTCCTGGACGACAGTGACCAAATCAACATGGCTGTTCAGTAGAAAATGCCAGGTATGACATTATGGAAATGTGTCTGCTCCAAGCGCCACAAATTCCACCATTATGGCTTTGGGGGCTTGTTGGTGATTCTGTCTGGGTAGCTTTTTTTTTTTTTTTTTTTTAATTTCCACTACAGGACAAAGAAGTCTAGATGGGAGACTACTGTAGAATAATACATATGCGAGTCATCTTTCCAAATTCACAGAGAATTAT